AAAAAAATATACAAAAATATAATTAATTGATATTTAAATACAACTATGAGCATCCGCAAAATGACCAACACACACACACATGCACAAACGATAAATATTGATAGAAAAAAAAAATCAGATAACGATACCGGTACATAATGTCAAATAAAGATTTATCATCGAAATTCCCTCAAAAAAGATTATCAGACTGAATCTATGACACTAAGAATTTTTTTGATTACAGCGGCGATATTATGAAGAATCATTTCGAGAAAAAAAGCCATATAGCCTCAGGTCAGATATTTGTTTAATTAAGGAACTGAAGATATCAAATATCATTAGTTCATCAGCTTCAGAGTTTGAATTGTATGAGAAAAAAAATCAAACAAATATGCAAATACGTTTTAAGCAGTTTTTTTGCTAAGATTAAACAGTTTGTGTGTGTTTTTTTTTGCGCAAAAATACCAAATGGGAATATATTCGAAAAAAAAAATGCCAGTAATTGGCGGGAAATTACAACCGGATTAACATTTTGTTGCTTAGTTTTTACATCTGCCATGTTTCTAATTAATAATATTTATTGATATGAATGTTGTTTTATGGGGTTGTTGTTTATGATGATCACATCAATTACATTGGACATTAATAACGCGGTTGTTGGTGGTGGTGGCTTTATATGGTGGGAACTCTGTTTTTTTTAATGTTGTGGAGATTTATGACCATTGTCCATTCATCAGCATGGTAAGGTTTACCTCATTTATATACAGTTTTGATTTGTAATTGAATGGGTTCTAAAAAGAAAATGCTGATGAGCGCCTGGTGTTATTTTTGGAATGGAGGTACCTCCGATCGATTTTTGTACCCCACAACACTAAGTGTGGTGGTTATTATAAGTTTTATTGGGCCAAAAAATTATGTAACACAGCGAAATATTGGATAAGACATAGAAAACTATATATGGATCTTCCTATCTCGCCGAGCAGAGTCGATCTAGCTACGTATGTCCGTCTGTCCATGTAAAATTGCAATCACGCTAGGGGTTCCAATTATGGCCCGATCCTCACAAAACTTTTCATGGAGGTGGGTTCAAGGTCAGAATAGCAGAAAGAGTGAATAGATATATTTCATCTCCACACAAAATATTTTGTTGATAGATATATTAGGATGTGTAAAATATGAAGATGCTTATTTCGTAATTTTATGAGAGATAGTAGCTGAACGCGGTGCGCTTCGCTACCCCTTTTGATTCTTTATGTATTGAAAATTTTATATACGAATATTTGTTAGTTAAAAAAAAATAATAATAATAAAACACTTAAAAAAAATAATTATTTTAATACTTTAATGTGTAAATACACCAATAGCTTGGTCTGCCAACGCTTCAACCTGGTATGTTCATAGATGACCATGAGCAAAGAAGAAACATGCCAAATTTAGACAGCATACACGAAGGGTTTGTCCCTCGGATTTATTAATTTCATAGCTGCAATCTTTTAAAGTTGAGTGGCATTTCTGTTGTAATTAGAGAATTCGAGGTAGCATCGTACTGCCCTGTAATAATCGTATCCTCAATTAAATTGTTGTGTAGTTTTTTTGCTGTTTGCCTAATACCATTGCAACGGCGATGCTCAATGCTCCTTCATAAAATCATATACCAATCTTAACCGATTTAAATATAATTTGACAAAATTTACTTTCACACCGAATTCCGTCACACCTCCCATATTCATTGAAATTGGAGGTACATCAAATATGTGAAATCGGCCGAGAATATATAAAAAAAACTGCAACAAAGTGAAACGCCATAATTTTTAAATTTTTTATACACTCCAATGGAAATACACATTATATTTACGAAATACACATTTTAGACGCCCACAAAGTATATATATTCTTGATCAGCATAAAATTCTATGTCGATTTAACAATGTCTGTTCCTCTATCTGTCTATTGTCTGTGCAGGTCCATGTTTTATAACACCCATGGTACCTCCCTATATTCGGTAATTATATGATTTCAGCATTTGAATATTGTAATAGCTTATGACAAAAGTTGCCCATGCAGGTCCACGTCGTCGTATAGACCCTAATATATGGCTACTTTCGGTATTTATAAGATTTAACAGAATTTTTAACGAATTTTATTTTCTTGAAAACTGCCAAATTTGTACCAAATGGTGGAGGGTATTTAAAGTTCGGCCCAGCCGAACTTACAGCTTATTTACGTGTTTAAATTTTTTTGAATGAAAGCAAAAATGTCTAAAGCAGCATCAAATTTTAGAAAAAGTTTAGATTTGTTCGAACTGGTCACCTTTAACCTTAGCCTTCAAACGGTCAATGAAATCGTCACACGCTGCCCGCATGTTGCTCTGCGGTATTTTGGACCATTCCCGTCGAAGCGCTTGCTTGAGGTGATCGACACTTTGGTATTTTTTAGTGCCGACCTTGCTTTCCTAAATACTGCAGACACAATATTCCAACGGATTGGTATCCGGAGATTTTGGTGGCCATTGTGCGCTGGAAATGAAGCGAGAAACCTCATTTTGTAACCATTCTTGGATGGGGCGTGCTGAGTGCGATGGTCCTGAGTCTTATTGGAATGTCCAAGGTCTGCGGCCAAAATGTTTGCGTGGCTAAGGCTTTAATACACCCTCCAGAATATTTTCGCCATAATATTCGGCATTTATTCCGATGCCAGGGTCGATTAATACGAGCGGAGTGCGACCATCGGTTGTTGTGGCGGCCCACACCATCACCATGGCCGGCGCTTGGGTTCTGGTGGCCAACCGAAGGTGCAAATTTTCAACTGACCTCTTTGGCAGGTAAACAAATTCGGCAGTTCCACACTTTCGGCCAAGCGAGTCTATTTTCTTTCTGTTGCGGGGTAAATTCTTGCACTGTTTGGAACTTCAATGAAATATTGCGATAGGTTCAGCTTACAAACCATATTTCGGACACTGTGACGTGGGTATCGATCAAGTCGCTTCTTTACTTTTCGAACCATTTCTGCTGATGTTTTCTACAGTCCACTTCCTTGAGGTTGGGATACGCTACCAGTATCACGGTAACGAGCGATGGTAAGAGAGACCAAAAGATTTATTCACATTTAAATGCTGTAGTGCTCTAACAATAGCCACTTGTGGTTTTCCAGCCAAATATAAAGAAATCACACTATCACGCTTGAATTCCATCACGAATAACTTTGTTCTGGAAAATACTCACCAAAATGCTTTTGTACGTTTGTAAACAATATAATGAACTTTCACGGGAATAATTTTATTAGATGTTGGACGAGTGGCTTAGAAATTACAGCAGTCTGAAGTTGGTTGCAGTTTTTTCATCTCGCCCTGTATATTTCCACTCCTTCCGGTACCTCCCTCACAAAAGTTCAAAAATTTCACATATACAACAAGGATGGATCCTCCAATTGATTTCAAATTTTGCAAATCTCTATATTTTTGTTAGCGCTATGTCCGGTGCGAAAATGGGCAACAACGAGCCACTCCCTCATGTACCTCCCACACAAAGGGTTAACATTTGGAATAATTATAACTTTTATAAAATACGAAATAAGCATCTGATTCGTTTCAATATTTCGCATATTCCAATACTGCGACTAACAAAAGACCTGATGTGAAGATGGAATATATCGGTTTACCGCTTCGGGTACCTCCCACGCAAAGCGACAAATTTTTGAATAATTATATCGTATGATTTGCCAAATAAGCATCCGATTCTCTTCGAATTTCACATATCCCAATATTTCTATCAACACAAACTCTGGTGCGAAGATAATAGATATCGTTCTGTTACCTCCCCCCACAATGGATCACAATTTCCAATACTTATATCTCTCATAATTTGCGAAACAAATCAGCCATTATTTTAAAACTTGGTCACCAGAGATCTGATGTGAATACAGAAGCCATCGGCTCACTACAGCCCTCAGCAAAAAGTTTGAATTTTGATTAACAATTATTGGCATTATCTTGGAAACAAATTTTAGATTTTCTTTGAATTTTGCTCATTGCAATATTTTTCAGCATTCGATGAAAATATCTGGTACCTCATGCACAGTTCCACATTTTCCAAAAATTATTACATATCCCATGTAAAGGTGAATGAAGTAGTCGATATATACAAAATCTGGTACATTTATTTCAGACTTAGCCAAGATACGAAGTGGATGACATTGGTCTACTATTTTGGATGACTTACAATATGGGATTTGACTTACAATATCGAATAGCACATTTAATAGCATTTTTGCTCCTTACAACAACATGTGTTGGGGGTCCGACCTTCGCGAAATTTTGCGAAAGAAGTAGTGTTATAATCAGAATAGAAGCCTATTTCTTTGGAAGATATTCGATTTGGAGATATATTTTGTTCAAAAACCTAAAAAATGTGTAGATTTTTCAGTTGTCCTACAGTTCTCATTTATGGACCAATAGACATGAAATTGTTTACGATATTAGAGTTTAGGGCATCGCTTAAGTCTAGAATTTTGGAAAGTGAACCAAAATTGTTGGTGAAAAAATACCAAAATTAACGAAATCAAAAATTTATGAAAGGTGCATCTGTGACCTTACATTGATGCTGATTTCGATAACGAATATAGCCTAATATCGGGGATACAGGGAATCATATAAAGGAGTCTAAATGTTCAAATATTTTTTTAAATACAAATTAACACTACATTTATTTTAGTGATCTTGTGGCGGCCGGAAAGTACTCAATAATAATTTACTTTAAAAATATTATTTTTATGTGATCAAGTCATCTTTGATTTTGTATTTTTCATTTTTCGTCAAGTTAGCCTTGACTTTCAGTTTTTGTATTTGGTGACAACAAAATAATTTTTACATTTTCTAGAGAGTTCTATTTTGTCTTTTGGAAATTAAACATTAATTTTTTAAAAAAATTAAATTGTTGTGGTTTTATTCATACCAACGCACAACAAATTGGTGACCCCGGACAAAAAAATAAGAACAGCCAATTGAACGGAAATCAGACCTACTAATGGCAACCACCGCTACAAATTCTGGACCATCAATGGAAGTTTCGCGAGTAGCTGTGAAAGCTCCACCATTTTGGCGTTCAGACCCGCTGCTTTGGTTTAAACAAATGGAATCGCAATTCATTATGGCTGGTATTACGCAAGATTCCACAAAATTCCATACCATTGTCGCATCTATTGAAAGCAGTATTTTGGAGAAGGTATCAAACATCATCGTCGATCCTCCTGCAGAAAACATGTACGACACGCTTAAGGAAAAACTTATTAGCAGTTTTTCGGATTCAGAGGAGAAGCGTCTCAAGAAGCTTTTGACTAACGTTGAACTTGGAGACAAGAAGCCTTCAGAGTTATTATCCGAAATGCGGTCTTTGTCTCAAGGTAAGGTTTCAAACGACATTTTGAAGCAGTTGTGGATGCAACGTCTTCCTTCACAAATGAAGGCGATATTGTCAGTTAGTGAAGATAGTCTTGACAAATTATCAACGATGGCCGATAAGATTGAGGATAGCAGTGAATCGGATGTGTGCAGCTTTTCTCCATCGAGCACTCGTTTAGAGGAAATTGAGAAGAAATTGCAAACGCTCTGCACGCAGATAAATTCCTTCAGGAAGTCAAGAAGCCGTAGCAAGTCATCATCATCAAGGAATAGACGGTCAAATTCCGGAAGCAAATCAAAACCTTATTGTTGGTATCATTTCAAATTTGGGGATAAAGCCAGAAAATGTCTTGCTCCATGCAATTATAAGCCTCCAACTTCGGAAAACTGAATGGTGCACCATCTTTGGTGACGGATGAGTGTACCCCAGATATATGTCGCCTGTTTGTTCGAGACATTAAATCGAAAACCAGGTATTTAGTAGATACAGGGGCAGATTTAACGGTATATCCTGTGTCGCAAAATGTTATTGGAAAATATTGGTTCCAGATTTACGATGATTCTTTGAAAAGAGGTTCAGATTCAAGATTTGCTATTATTCTGTAGAGGATATGGAGATGTTTCATAGAAGAATCTTCATTCTACAAGGTGTTCAGATCTATAGAAACTTGTAGTGTTGTAGGATACAAAATGGTCGGCACCGCCCGGCTGTAGCCTTTTCTATCTTGTTAAGTTTGGAGTAGAAAATAAGGCAAAAATATAACCAGTAAGGAAACCTCAAAAGTCGGGCGGGGCCGACTATATGATACCCTACACCACTATGCTTATTTAGTAGAGCTCTCGTAAAAGAAAGGTTTATATAGGGCATTATGAGCTCTGTGAGATATCTGGTACAAAATATGTGTATGGTAGAGTGCATATTCTGAATGTTGGAGATTTAATCACCAAATCGGAAGAGATATATATGGGAGCTATAGCTATATCTGAAGCGATTTCCACCAAATTTGAAGTATTTATTTCTATACGAAATTCGGTCGAAAGTGCCAAAATACGATATGAACCTAAAATCGGAGAGATATGTATGGGAGCAATATCCAAATATGAACCGATCTTGATAAAATTTGAATCATGTATTGCTAGGCTGAATCTAATATCTGGTACTAAATATCATTTTTGTGGGGTGTGTATTACGATTGTGAGGGACATAAACACCAAATCGGATGAAACATATATATGGGACCTATAGCTATATCTGAACCGATTTTCATCAAATATGAAGCACATGCATGGTTGGATGTAGCAAAATTCACACCATTTGGACTGATATTAGCCATTTGGTGCACAAGAAATTTAAAATTGGATGAAGATATACATGGGAGCTATAACTAAATTTGTACCGATTTTCATTAATTTCAATAAGGTTCGTCTTTGTGTCAAACAAATGTTATTTAGAAAATTTTATCTCAAACGAATAATAAATGCGATCTGCATTTTGTTTACAAAAATATATGGACAGACGGACGGACGGACGGACATGCATAAATCGACTCAAAATGTGATTCTATGCTGATCATCAAAAGGATCTATGGGTCTATCTGCTTTCCTTTTCCATTTTACAAACAAATGCACAAAGATATAATACCCTTACCACTATGTGGTGTAGGGTCTAGAAACGATTTAATTTAGTTGGAAAAACGAATAACTTTAAGCTGGGATTTGGTTCGGACGATAGTATTTCAAGGAACACAAAGTAAAACTCTCCATTTAGAATCGTAACCGTACTTCCACGAAAAATCCATTATTGAAACCAAGTTTGTAGAATTTTTCGGAAAATCTTCTTTATATCTATAAAAGAGGAAAATGTTTGTATGTTTGTTTGTTTGTTTGTTTGTAATTTATGGACTCGAAAACCGCTGAATAAATTTTCCTGAAAATTTCCATATATACTGCAACATCGCCTGAAAGTAACATAGGCTATATACATTTTTGAATTTCCACTTGGAACTGGAGATATAGCATCAGAATCGGAGGTACCTCCCAAAAATTTAGATTTTATATGCACATATCTATTGATTGGTTGAAGATACAGTCTCCAAATTTGGAATACGTAACGGAATTTGGAACAAAAATAAGTTTGCCAAATTATATTGTAATCGGTTCAGATTTAGATATAGCTCCCATATATATTTTCGACCGATTTCGTTCATTTGATGCCTCAAACACAATATGAATGTTCGATTCCAATGAAATTTGGAATGTGTGACGGGATTTAATCCGAAAATAAATTTGTCAAATTATATTGAAATCGGTTCAGATTTGGATATAGCTCCCATATATATTTTCGGCCGATTTCAAGCATTTGATGCACCAAACACGCTATGTATCCCCAATTTCAATGAAATTTGAAACGTGTGATAGATTTTATCTAAAAAATTGATTTCCCAAATTATATTGAAATCGGTTTAGATTTGGATATAGCTCCCATATACATTTTCGGCCGATTTCATGTATTTGGTGGACCAAACACGACATGTATTTCCAATTGTAATGAAATTTAAAATAAGTAACGGAATTGGGAGCCAAAATGAATTTATCAAATTAAATTGAAATCGGTTCAGATTTGGATATAGCTCCCATATATATTTTCGACCGATTTCATGTATTTTATGCACCATACACGATATGTATGTTCCATTCCAAAGAATTTGGAATATGTAACGGGATTTTGATTAGAAAATAAATTAGTCAAATTATATTAAAATCGGTTCAGATTTGGATATAGCTCCCATATATATTTTCCGCCGATTTCACATATTTGATGCACAAAACACGATACGTATTTCCGATTCCAACGAAATTTGGCATGAGTGGCTACATTTGGTACAAAAATAAATTTGACAAATTATATTCAAATACGCTCAGATTTGATTATAGCTCCTATATATATACTAAGCCGATTTCACATATTTGATGCACCCAAAGCGAGAGAGACAAAATCTGGCACCAGAAAAAATTGCCAAATTATATTGAAATCAGTTGAGGTTTGGATATAGCTAACATATATATTTCGGCCGATTTCATACATGTTATGCACCAAACATGATATATATGACCGATACCCATGAAATTCAGAATGTGTGGCGGAATTTGGTTACAATAATAAATGTGACAAATTAATTGGAAATTAGTGAAGATTTGGATATAGCTCCCATATACATATTCTCGGCCGATTTCACATATTTGACGCACCAATTTCAATGAAATATGAAAGGTGTGTTTTAATAAGAACCATTGACCCACAACGCCTTAGGCTAACACTAAAAAACAACACAACAATTGATTTGAAATACGCTTATTACGGCGAAGTATGTTGCTATCTCGATAATTGCAATAGAAATGCCACTCAACTTCAAAAGATTGCAGTTTACTGCACGCTTGGTATTTGCTATGAAATAAATAAATCCGAAGGACAAACCCTTCGTGTATGTATGTCATGTTACTGCTTTTCTAATGGTTTTGGTTATTTACGCATTAAAGTAGTGCAATAATTTTTTTTTTTAATTTTTAAATTTGTTTTTTGTTTTTACCCAACATATATTCGTAAATAAAATTTTGAATGCATATAAAATCAAGCGCACCGGGTTCAGCTAGTATCATATAAAAAAAAGAAATATTATCATGTCATCACTTGTCGTTAAACTAGTTCTCCTTTACAACTAAGGTAACAACTTTAGAAAACAACAACATTTGTTACAACAAAACCTATTTCTAACAAGTTTACCTCATAAGTCCATTTTTATGTCATTACCCTTTTACATCAGCAAGGCAGCCAGTTCGCCAGCTAGTCAACACATTAAATAAAGATGTTATTTATCGATGTTGTGCCGCTGATAGAACTCTACCCCCTTCCCACCTCCCCATCCTCCCTATATATACCAAAATACGTAATGCTTATTGCATTGAAAACTGAAAAGATCACAAATGATCGATGACCAACGTGTTTGTGTCTTAAGTCTTTTGTTTGGATTGCAACATTATTATTTGCATGCAAATATCTGCGGCACAACACAACATATTTGTGTTACATTGCAACATAAAGCAGACATCGATCGATCGATCGATGCATTTACTAAGTATATCGTCCAGTGGATGACAGTGGCATGGATGCATTGTTCTTTGGGGCCAAACAATATGAATTACAATCTTTGTTCGAGAGTAACAAATGTGTTGATATCAAACATAATTAGAACAGACATAAATATGTATTTGTAATTGTCATATCATGGAGTGGTTTATTGTAGTGCGAATTATGAAAAGCAATTTTATGCTAAAAAATGAAAAGAGAACATTTAGACATTCTGGGTGAACATATTGAGGTCAATATATACGAATATTTAGAAAATTCCATTCTATTAATATTTCGTATAACTGTGTGGTATTGACTTAAAATAATGAGTTGGTCCTACAAAAGCTCTCTGCAATATTATTGCCGCATAAGGCCAATAAATCGGCAAAATTACCTGAATTGTATTACGGATTGTTTGGTTGTTCACCGGTATCATTGTATTCCAAGAAACTTTTATCTATTTCCAAACTTAAGAATATAAATTTGAAAAAAAAAAATTTAATTTTGTGAAACTTGGTTAAAAAATAGCTTTTCTGGAGCTCGGAAATTCCAATCATTTGAAACGGTTAGAAATTACGAAACTCAATCAAATTTTTATACCCGTCACGCAAAAGCTTATCCCTTTTTGATCTAGACTTGGTATTATTATAATATATATATCGAGCTCAGAGCTGGGCAATATCGGTCCTTTCCTTCCGGAACCTCTTGCAAATTTTTTTTTAAAGAAAATAATTCACCTTATAGAATAAGAAAGAATCATCCAGTTTTGACAATTTTCACAAATCCTAACATTTTTATCAGTGCTAGATCAGGTGGAAAAATTGACCAAATCGGCAATCTCCATCAAATACATCCCCGCAAAGGATAAACATTTTGAATAATTTTAACTCTCTTAAAATAACGAAATGTCCATAGAACTCGAAGTGAGCACTAGGATTTTGGTCAGATTTTCCTAAAATTTCACGAATTTCACAACACAAGGTCTGGTGTGAAGATGATAGATAACGCACATTTTAACATTTTCCAGAAATGGTGAAGGAAATAGGAACGATATGGGTCAAATTTCTCAAGTTGTATTAAAATTTACGAAATGAGAAATAGTGGCTCGAAGAAAGAGTTAGATAAACCTTTACACTATGGTTTCACATCTAATTGTCCTAGTCAAAACTATTTCAACGTCTTTTCATAACAAGTAAAATATTATCAGATGTATACCCTCAGCCACGACCAATTCGTATCTGACCTAACACTGATATAACTATTAC